TGCAGGCAGATTGGGGCCACACAACAAGTTCAGTTTCAAGACTTGAGGAGAGTCATATGTTTGGGTCATCTGACCGTTCAACCTGAGTTAATCCAGAGAATAAGAGAATCTCAGTCAGTCGATCCCACCCTAGTGGCCATCAAGAAAGATGCAGAACAGGGAGTTAGCTCAGAATTCTGAGTCTCCGCCAATAGGTTGCTCCGATTCCAGGATAAGGTGTGTGTTCCAGGTGACAGTGAGTTAAAGAGAGACATCATGACAGAGACCCATAGCTCAAAGTTTGTCATGCATCTCGAAAGTACTAAAATGTACCTGTAGCTCAAAGTCCACAATGTGTTTCATATGTCAATGCTACGCAAGTACAACCTTCATCTCTCTCATGTCCTAGCCCACGAGCCTCTTCTACTCCAGAAATATTTATCCTACGAGGAAGTATCAGTAGGCATTGTGGATCGAAAGAGCAGATTACTCTGCAACCGGAAAATATTCTTTGTAAAGGTCATATTGCAGAACTACACACCAAGGGAGGCTACATGGGAGCTAGAATAAGACTTTAGAGCCCAGTATCCTTAGTTGTTCGATTGAGAGTGAGAAACAAATTTAAGAGACCAAATTTCTTTTAAGGGGAGGGGGGGAGTTGTAACACCCAATAAAATTTTTTAATTTTATTTTTGTTTTTTTAATATATTTAATTATTTATTTAAGTTGTTTTAATTTAATGAAAAAAAGGGGTGAAATTTGTTAATGATTAATTTGAAAATAATTTTGGAGAAAAGGTGTAAAAATTTAGGTTCTATGGGTATTTTTGAAAGAAAAATTAGAAAACGGAGGTCAAAACACAATTTATAAAAGTTATGTCACGTCAAATGCATGACAAAGCAGGACGCGCCAGGTGGCAGAGACGCTGACGTGGGAGGCCACGCTGGGGGAGCCACGTGGGCGATCCGCGTGCTTGCAATCGAACGGCTGAGATTCGTTCCTGCACGCACAGACGATCCAGATTAAAAATGTGCACGGACAGCCTAGATTGCATCGCGCACGGACAATCCAGATTGAATCGCGCACGGATGGCCTAGATTGAATCGTGATGAATGGTCCAGATTCACTCCCTATTAATCACAATCGAACAGTCCATATCAAAAGCGATGGACGACCCAGATCAAAAGCGGATGGGTATAAATAACCTCATCCGCACCCAAACCCTAACCCTACCCGCCAGAGCCCCTCGCCGGAGAAGACAGCCCAGTAGCCGGGGAGCTGACTGCCGCCACCCGCCGCCGCACTAGAGCCATTTTCGACTGCCAAACGAGGTAAATTTTTTTTCTCTTACATGAAATTCAATTTTAAACTCATCTATGGCATAATCGGAGTGAAAGAACTGGTCAATTGGCCGAAAAATGCCGTCGAAATTCGGCGCCGCCGCCACGCGGTGTTTTAAAAAACGCCTCCGATGAGACCCTTTACGATTCCCGTTCGATGTGATTTTTCTACCGTTGTGATCACCGTTTTCTTTTCTACAGGTTGACCGGAGTAAAACACCCAATCGCAACGTGAGCTAGAGGAGCCGTCGCACCGGAGAGCCCCAACGCCGTGAGTTTCAGTTTTCTACGTTTTTTCAGCCCATCGAGGGTCCTAAGTATGTTTTCTCGCAGGAACCGACATATACCTAAGTATGTCAGCGGTGCCGTCGCCAGAGTATGGCGGAGCCGCTGTGCCGGATTTTTGAAATGACCGAGTTGGCCCTGGGACTATTTTTGGGTTTATTTGGGATATTTGTAGGTACTGTAAGCCCGTTTTAGTTCTCGAAGAAAATTCAGGGAACCCAGGGACCGCCCATAGGCGTAGTAACCACTTAGCTTTCGACGTCGAATCAAGTAAGGACCCCTCACCCTATTTCTTATCATGGAATTGAAGTTTGAATAAATGATAATACTGTATTTTATACAAATTAAATAGATATGCATAACTAATTACGGATTGCTAATAGAGCCCGAACTGGACATTATTCTCGATCGATTCTTGTTTGATTTATTTTACAATTTAAATGCATTATTGTATTTGGTTTATCTATTATATGATTTTAAATGCATGCATCACTACTTACTTGACCACTGTGTGATTTTGAGATTTAAGATATGATTGCATTACCGGGTGCATGTTCATTATTTAAGTGATTGTATTTGGTTTGGTAACGGAGACTAAGGGAAAACAAGAAAGGGGTGTGATCTAATAAGTAGATAAGATGACAGTCTCACTAGATATCTTGGGAGATGGTGGACGGACCAGGTTCATAGGGAATCCTACCATGAACGTTGTCTCATACCGGATGAGATATGGAGACTTGGTAATTTGGCACTCATACCGAACGAGGTATGGGAACGACCTGCTTCATCTTTATCCCGGACGAGGTATTGAGGTTTAATGTCTTGGTACTCATACTAGACAAGGTATGAGAACGACTCTGTAATTAAGATTGTTATGAAAAATAGTTCACGTGTAGCAGTGACACCCCTATGGATCCCCATGAATATTAGTAGGCTGGTGAAATGAGAAACAGTTATGATTTAGTTATTGTTAATAAATATGAATTTAGAATATATTCTATGTTATTGATTGTGCGTGAAATTATGATATATATGATGTTATTTTCTTTATAGGTTGCTTTCATAAATTCTCCAATGGTAAGTAAAAGGGTAAATAGTTTTATTGTTAATAAATGTATTGGTTTAAATCTACTGCTCCATTAGTTGTTTTGATTTTCTACCAACCTTTGCTTTTGTACCGGTGATATAATGTGATGTCTTTACTGGGCTAGTGTAGCTCATTCCTTATTTAACCATTTCAGATTAAGAGGACCTGGTTTTTGAGCCCGATCTGCAGGAAAACTGCAAGTAGATGCTAGATACCTTATGTTTTCTTTTACTTTTCTCAGTTCTCATGTTTCTTTCAGATATTTCATTCCGTGATATTTGTTTAGTACTTTTAAGTTATTGTGTAAGGGATGTAAACCTTAACTTCTTATTTCGCTTCCGCACTTAAGTTATTATATATTTCTTTTTACATTTTTGGGGTCGTTACAATAACATTCGCAATCATATATTTGGTCAACAAAATTTCTATCATGTAATGTGTAATTGTGTAAAGAGTAACTCTTGGATTTGATTGGCTGATGGAATTGCCTGTAGCCATGTAATGGCCAACAGGGTAACTTCTGAGCCACTCTATTATGATCTTGTAGTGTTTAACAGAGTAACTTTGAGATATTCCTGAAGTAAATCTTGATTTTGGAGAATAAGAAGATTAGTTGAAATTTTTTCTTGAAAGGAACGAGTTAAAATTGTTTGGGATAGTGGATTATACATATCTTACCCTGCACACCATACTAAAACATCAAGTAAGATTTAAGATGTGGGATCTGGATTCCATACTGTATGAAGTTAAAGAGTGTAATCCCTCATAGGAATGGGAGATCTTGCGTAGTAGTTTCCTTAGCATGTGGGAATATTGTATCTGATACAAATTTGTTCTCTTTATGATTGTAAACAATTTACTAATCAAATAGGAAAATTTTTCTATGCATGCATGTGTATTGTAAATCTGTTCTTTGAATTAAGTTGCAGGAAAAGAAGGAAGGTTGAAAAGTTAGAAAAACATAGATGCTTTTCTAGCTTAATTTATTGCTTCCTTGCAGGAAGCCCAATTCTTCCTTTTCGTTGGCACATATGAAGAGGCCTTGCTAATACGCAGTGGGAACCCACATTCACAGAACTTCGTCTTTAATATATGCCACATTATCTGTTTCTGAATAAATTCATGCTTGATATGATCTTGAGCTTTCTATGGCTCATCCATATTCAAGATAAAAATCATTTCTTAACCACGGCTTATATGGTTTGAGCCAAATTCCAGATGGAGACTTGATCACAGATGGCTTCCCTTGTAAGCATTATGTTTGGTCATGATCTAACTTACCACATAAGTAACAAAAATCAAGCAAGAGTTCATATTATGAATCCAGTGTTGAGGATTGTGTGGTTTTACAGAAAATATTCTTTGAAACAATAGCTTGTTGACTTCAATAGAGACTTCGACTCGAAAATAATCAACCTGTGACCCTTCCTTGCTTGCAAAATCAATTTCCTGAACAGATCTGATCTTTTTAGCTATTGCATGTGCATTATTCGTATTGAACAAACCAAGAGGCAACCCCATTAACTTGATCTAAAAGGACATTACAGAAGAATCAATTTCTTCACTTGAAAGATCTGATTAACATTCTTTTAAGATAACAAAACTTCCTTCAATGTCCCATGCACCTTTGTTGGTAATTTGTTTCTTATCCACTTCATTTAGTGCTTGCTGTTGCCTTGTACTAATATTTAATGCTACTGGATTAAAGAGTTTCAAGGGTTTGTCTCTGTCATTTTTCCTACTAACATCTGGTTCTTTCCTCACATATGGATCATTACAGGTATGTGTACTACTCATGATCAGAAAAAACCAAATGACTGTAAAGAAGGAAGAGAGGAAAAAAGGAAATATGAAATGAAGTGTCAAGATGGTTTCTAACTCGAAGAGCTGACAAAGAAGGGGTTTTCTAAGTAAAAGATGTGCTCCCGTGCATATCTTTATTTAGAATTTACTTCTGTTGTATTATGATTGGTATACATATCACTTAATTAATGAATGCATATTTTTATTATAAGTTTATTTCGGTTGTAATATAATTGATATATATGTATATTTAACTAAGAATTATATAAATTTACTAAAAAAAATGAGATGTATTAACGTGCACGAAAATATATAATTTAATTTGAACTTATACTCCTTTATAAAATGAGAGAGATAATAACTATATTAATTTAATTTTTATATTATATGGTACAGTATATAGTATATAATTTTTTTAAAAATATAGTTTTTTCAGTTATATAATATGTAATATAAGGGTTTTTTTAAAAAAAAATTGGCCTTTTCTTTAATAACAGAAACGTATATGAATCTGAAATCTGAAGAATTTTGATATGATGATGACTAGACAGCTCTCAAAGACATTTCATCAGAGAAAACACCTAAACCCTAACCCACAAAAATCATCGCCACTACCACCACAACCATCTTCATCATCAACATTGAAAATATCTGAAGCAAAATCCCATGACTGTTCAACATCAAAGTCAAGATCATGGTGTGTATATCTCATTCTATCTACCAATAAACCAATCAAGACATACGTTGGGGTCACCACCGATTTTGGTCGACGGTAAAGGTCACTCTTTTCTGTCTTATCCACGTTTGAAGGAATTTTTTTTCAGTGAATTTTGGAGAATTGCTTATCTGGGTCCTGTTAAATCTTATAGATTTTTTTTTTCCCCAAATGGGTGAACTGTCTTATGCTGAATACCTGTCTGATGGGATTCATGGGAGTTAGGGCACTTAATTTATTTCTAGAGAATGCAAAGATTAAGGGATGCTTGAATATGTGTAGAGTATTTGATCAATAAATCACATATCTATGGTTTGATTATTTTTCTATTGGTGTGAATTTAATTGGAACTACTTTTAGAAGAATGAATATAATTGTGATATCAGAACCCGGGTATCATTGATTTGGTGATACTGTTAATGTGATTTCCCATATAAGCTGACACTTCAAGTGCAGGACCTATGATGGTGTTCTTTTGCCAAAGCCCCAAATACCTAGTCACCTTATTGATAGATGTTTAAATTGCTTCTGTTATCCGTGCTAACCGGGTTTTTCTGGAGTCGATGCTAGTTTCAAAGTTTTTTTTGCAAGGAAGAATCTAGACTTTCACGATTATAAAGAAGTATCTGGCATGATTTTTTTAGCTTATCTGTTCGTCAGAGAGTAGATTTAGTGCCTATTTCTCTAGGAAAATTATGAAGTGTTTAAGAACAGATTATCATTTGCCACGCAAAACATTTCATTTCCTGTTCTTTCTCAGAGAGGAGATTGTTAGTGGGGTCAAGTTGTCAAAACTGGTTTTAAGAAAGTGTACCTATTTGGTAAATCTATCTTCATCTTTAGTCACAATGTACGGCTTTTATAGATTGTCTCATCATTGAATCGTAGACGGCTGATAGTTTTGGACATTTTTATTCAAGAATATGATTTCTATCCTTTCTATAATTCAAATTATCTCTTTCAGCTGATACTCTTCAAAAGTTTTGCAGTGGCTTTTTTTATTTTTTTCCCTAGGCAGCAAGATTTTTGAAATCCTTGATCGGTTTCATGTTCGCTTAGATGTGTTATTGCAGTATACTAACAATTATTTCATATGCAGTCTGAAGCAACATAATGGTGAGATTAAAGGTGGTGCAAAAGCATCCCGTGCAGGAAGGCCCTGGATTTGTGCTTGCATAATTCATGGTTTCAGTTGCCAAAATGATGGTAATTATACAAACCATAAAATTATGGCAAATATCTACAAGCAATGAACATTTGAAAGAAAATATATAAGTACTCAGTTGATGGATACATGCATTAACTGTAGTTCTTTCTTTTTACAAAATTTACTAAAATGTTGGAGTTCTTTAAATATTTATGGAATTTCTGTGATTGGTCTGTTTGTTTGAATCTGGTCGGCTTATTGAGATTAACTTATTCATTTTAATGTTTCATTTCTGTTTCCGCCGCAAGTATCTTATTGTCTCCTGCTTTCTATTATTTTGTCAAAGGCTAAGTAGAACCAGATGATTATATTTTGCCAATTCTTTTTTGTTCAACATTATATAAAATGGTTAGAAATATAGTATCTCTTTGCTTTTCAATTAAGAAACACCCATGATTGGTTGTACTTTTGCAACATTAAATAAGAATTACTTATACCAACTGTGGCTGTACATTAAGCCGTTTTTAGTTAAATTTCCATTGGTTCCTTATAGCATTCTCTAATTATTAGTATATCGTTGGGATCTTGAAAGGGACCATAATATTTGTGTATGAATTCATTCCGTTCCAATTTAAATTTCTGGAGGTTAAATTCTAATCCCTACTTAGTGAAATGCGTATCGCGTTGCATCTGCAATGAATCCAAGTTTTGAGTGAAATAGTGCAATCATGAAAAGAGTGATATAGTTCTATATTTCAAGGATATGTTAGCAAATAAATAAAGTTAGAGTTCTACATATTCTGATCTTTAAAAGCCAATGCTATGATTCACTTTCTCGTAGTCCATGTCTGTAGATGCATGGATCATGTAAAAATGATATGTAGAAGTGCTCTCTTTGAAGATAAATCAAGGTTTTAAAACAACCTTATTTGGGAAATTATCTGATATTCCATAAAATCATTACACAGAGAATCTAATATATATCTTATGGAATTTGATTTTTTTGTTTCATCATATTCATGGAAAATTTGTGCCTAGGAGATGCTGTTTGAAATCCAAAAACTTGAGACAGTTCATAAAAGTTCTTATTGATGTGAATATCGAATCAAATATGTCAGTTAAGTCCATTACAAGCTAAATATGATTTGATGAATCAACTGGTCTGGCATATAGCTGGTGTAGAGTTGGTTTGACCTGAAATTTTTCTTATGAAATGGTATAGCTTAGCAGCTGATGCTATTGAATTTTTTTCTTTATTTTGGCTCGCAGCTTGTCAGTTTGAATCGAAATGGAAAAGTTTCTCGAGGAAATTGGCTCGAAAAAGGATCAATAAAGAAGCAACTACAGAGATGGATGATGGGTCACTTCCATTGTTGCAGCACAGGCAAACTGCCCTAAACAAAGTACTCAAGGGTTTGTTGGATTGCACTCGTCTAACAGTTGACTGGCAGATGAAGCTTGTCTAATTTAACACATGCCATGGAGTAAGTTTATGGATCCAAAGAATCTTTTTTTTATTTGAAAGTATATATATATGTATATATAACACGTGTATATCTTTTTTTTTTTTTATGTATACTTTTATTCATGAAAGTATCTAAGAGTCAGAGTATTTTTTGAATAACTAGAACACAAACCAATAGTTTTCGAGAGTAAATTTTTTTAACTCCATTACTATTATTTATATATCTATATATATATATATAAACCAAAACTATGAAAATTTTCGGAAGAATTCTTTATAGAAGAAGTTCTTCATTTGATTTTTTTCAAGAGCTTATTCTATTTCGAGAAAGTTATATAGATGACATATTTAGTATTTATATACTATGTTTATAATGATTTAGTCAATATAAATGACTTGTTTATGACGGAGAAAATGATAGTAATGATTCATAGACGATGAAAAGATAACAAAACAAATAGAAAATGCATTGATTCACTTCTAGTACTATTATCAAATGTTATATGTAGAGGAAGAACAGGAAAAGAAAGAGAAAAGTTTATATATAGGAGTATTCGATTCTGAGTTTCGATATATACACGCAGAGAAGGCCAGCGGGTAATGAAAAATGTGAGCACGATAAATGAAATAGATGAATGGTAGATTATAGTTATTATTTTCTTAGATTTATTTTTAGATTTTAGAAGTTTAGGAAAAAAGTCTTTATATTATAAAAACTAATATGATTTGTGTATTTAATTTATTATTTAACGTGGGTGGGTGTTTGTCAACGGATCTGAAGAAGTTTATAAACCTTCTTAAAATAACATACACGTGAGCCATCCATCCAACACTACCAACCAGTTTTCCTCATGATTCAAAAAGAAATTAAACCATCTGGGAAAAATAAGACGTATAAATAAACATGAACAAGTAGAGAATAGAAGAAAGTTCACGATCCGATTTTTTCTTTTTCAAAAAGAAAAAATGGAGGAAGAGATCAGAAACTTGATCAAGATCTGGTTAACAGTAATCCCATGTCTGTATTACTGTTATCGAGTCGGCAACTTCATCCCAAAAGGATTCACGAGACTCATCTTCTTCCTCCCCATAATTTCTATCTTCTTCTTCCTCCCTCTCAATCTCCATTCTCCTCATCTTCTTGGCACCACTGGTTTTTTTCTTTCGTGGCTTGCCAACTTCAAACTTCTCCTCTTTGCTTTCTCCAAAGGTCCTCTCTCTTCCCACCCCAACATCACTTTCCCTCTCTTTCTCTCACTTTCTTGCTTACCCATCAAGCTCCAGCAAAAAACAAATCTGGGTTCTAAATCTCAGAAACACCCATCGCCAAAACCCAAAGAGGGTCCTGTAAATTACACAATCAAAGGTCTATGCGTCGCCGCTTTGATCAAACTGTATGACTACAGCGAATACATACACCCAAAAGTTATATTATTATTATACGCATTTCATATTTACTTCCTCCTTGAGCTCATCCTCGCCATGGTTGCAGCCCTGGCTCGAGCCTTTATCGGATTGGAGCTCGAACCACAATTCGACGAACCATATCTCGCAACTTCGTTGCAGGATTTTTGGGGAAGACGATGGAATCTGATGGTCACCAGTATCATGCACCCGACCGTATACGAACCTACCCGTGAGATTTTCTCGCCGGTGATTGGTCGGAGATGGGCCCCACTTCCAGCTTTCTTCACCACGTTTTTAGCCTCCGGTGTAATGCACGAACTCATGTTTTACTACTTGGCGCGTCTGCCCCCCACCGGGGAGATCACCTCGTTTTTTCTCATCCATGGATTTTGTTCAACGGTCGAGATTGGTTTGAAGAAATTGATTTCCGACAGATGGCGGTTTCCCCGAGTGATCTCTTGCCTGCTCACCGTTGGATTCGTTTTGGTCACCGGGAGTTGGCTGTTCCTCCCGCAGTTTACCAAGAGTAGAATTGATGAGAAGGCGTTTGAGGACTACGCGGCAGTTGGCGCGTTTGTTAAGAATATAAGTAAAAGGGCTCTGGAGATTGTGGTCTAGGCAACGGCTTTTGATTTTTCCACAGTTTTAACGGTTCTGATTGCGGAACTACATTTAAACGTCATATGATGATGCACCCATGTTTTCTAGAATTTTTATATTTTTTATTTTGTACGCGTAAATTCGTTGACCGACTGATAGTAGTTATAAAATTTAGCTGTCACATGTTGGATCTCAATTTTTAGAATCATCTAACATTATTTTTAATAATTGTTCGATTAAATCAACTTTTTAATATAACTAATCTATATATATATATATTACGTTTATATTAGCATATTATCTGTATATGTATGTATTTAATGGATATATATATATTATGTCCAATTATCTTAGAAGCTTAAACTCAAGCTTAACATGATAGAAAAAATTTTAATTAATTATTTAATTCTAACATATATATATAAAATGGTACTAAAAAAGTGAAATTTTTTCAATTAGTAACTGAGAATGTATGTTTAATTAATTATTTGTATATATTAATTAAAAATTAGAGTATAATTTACTATGAATAAAAAAATTCAAGACTATTTACTTTTTTTTTTTTTGTTTTTATTAATGAAGACTTTGAACTTTTTTAAGGTGCGAGAATTTGTCAAAAAAACAAATATTTTTCAATTTTATGTCGAGAAGACTTTGAACATGTTAGTTTTATATTAATATTATATTTATGTTTGATACGAAAATTAATTTACATATAAAAATAAGGAGAATTTTTGAACTTGGGAAAATTCTTGACTCATTTTAACATATCTTAAATTACTATATACGATCAGATAAGTTGTTCATTTGAATTTAACGTGTAAGAATATGTAACGGTCAATTTAATTAATTAATTTTTTTCGATAAACCAAAAATAATTGAATCGGATTGAAAAAATTAAAAAAAAAATCAAATTACTATTAACTTAAATATTTTTGTTTGAACATTTGTTCTAAATTTCAAACAAAAAAAAGTGTAAGACAATTATTGGAATATGGATTTTAGACCAAACATATATATATATATATATAATTATCTTATATCAATTTTTTTTTTCAATTATTATTGTATGAGTAAGTACATAATAATAATTGAAATTTGCCAAATTCATTTACAATAATTTAATTCTTATCCTAAATTGGTGAAGTTGGTGGGTTATCAAGTACCCAATTGACCTATATACATAAATCAAATACACCAAATAAGATTGTACGAACTCTATGAATGAGTGAGTAATTGAGTATCAAATTGAATCACATCTCAATTCTAAAATTCAAAATTAAATTTTTTTGACATTATTTAATTTTGGGTAAATTTTTATTTTACTTTATAAAATTTATATCGTCTTATAATTAAATTTAAAATAAAGTTGATTTTATGTAATTTAAATTTCTTTGAACTCGTTCAAGCTTAATCTTTGTCAAATCAAATAGGAATTGTGTGTTTTTGTAAATAAATTTTAAATAAAATTCGAGTATGATATTGTTTAAAAAAGTTAAATTTAAATAATTAAGTGTTGATTGGACTAACTGTCACATCTAATCTTATATATTTAACGTTAATTTTTTAGAATTTTCAATATTCAGAAATTGTTTGTAAACATTTTGAGTATATAATATTATTTATAGGAATTTTATTTGATCGATAGTATTTTTTGTTGTTGTTATTTTTTGCATTTTAGAAATCTACGAGAATTTTTTTTAATGTTTTGGGTAATTAAGAACATAAGTGGGTGTTTAAATATTGAGAGTATTTTTATTCACTATATAAGTATTTAGATTGTTTCTATACATTATATGTACCAAATATTAGTTTTGGCATTCCACATACTTACAATAATCTAAATAACATGAATTTATGTGAGGAAGAATTCATCAATGTTGAAAGGAGAAAATTTTGGATTTGGATTTTTATTGCGATAAATAAATTATTATAACAATATATGTTCGATTTTATTCATTTTTATAAAGATTTTAAACTATACGTTTATTATAATATATAAATTAATTAAAAACTATGTGTATATAAACATGGTCATTTTATAGTAAAGCTTTTTTTTTTTTTTTTACTTTACTTCCTTTGACTAATCAATTTAATAACATGAAAATACAAACCCTATAAAAAAAATAAAAGATAAAAGACATAATTAAGTAAATAAAAGAAAAAAATTGGTATTTAGTGGACTTCCTACTAATTAATTAATTCAAATAATAAGCTTTTCCCCCTTAAAGATATTAAACATAATTTAATTTATTGTTAAACTCAATATAAAATATGTTTAATTAGTGAATTTATTAGTAAAAATGTTAATTTGTAAATTATAGTTTGATTTTTTTAAAAAAAATCACAATTAAATTCTTCCAAAATTTATTCTCTTTATGTCACAAACTTAAGTTATGTTTAGTTAAAATTTAGAAACTTATGAATATTATTTATTCTCAATATTGAGAATGATATTTTATATATAAATTCACTTAATTTAATCCGTTTTGAATTTGATTTAATATGAATTTTTTTTAAAATGCGGGTTTGAATAGAATTAAATTCGGATAGATAAAAAGAGATTTTCGAATCAAACTGAGTTTGAGTTAGGCCTTCTAAACAAGTATTAGGAGAAGAACATATTCAAAACTTGAACCATTAGTGAGTGTGTGTGTATGAGGAAATGGTAATTATCCATTGAAGGTAATGGATATTGTAAAATTATAACTTCACCACTCATATAAAGTTATACACCCAATGATAAATACATAATAATAAATAAAATATTGAAGAGAAAAAAGTTAAAAGAAATATTAAAATAAAAAAAGGAGAAAAGCCTAGGGATTCCCTAATTGAAAGTGGGGGCTCCCAATTCAACACCCATTTGGCCAATACAACAAACACCATGTCAAATCCATCCTCTCTCCCACCACCATTCATAAACAAACAACTCAATGAAATCTCTTAATCCTCTAACCAAAATTCCTCAATCCATCTTCTCCTTCTTCTTCTTCTTCTTCTTCTTCTTCTTCTTCTTCTTCTTCATGGTGTAATACCAGATTCACCACACACACACACACACACACATATTAATCAAACCCATTTCTCAGAATTCCCAGAATCCACCTAAATGGGATACCTTTCTTGCAAAGCACAATCTGCAGTCTCTGTTATCTCCTCCTCCACCACTTCCAACCAAAACCCATCTTCCAAACCAGCCGCTGACAAGCCTGTAATCAAGATCCAGCAGTTTGATTACAGTGATCTTGAGGCAGCCACCAATGGGTTCTCCGATCGGAAACTGCTCGGTAAAGGCAGCCACGGCAGCGTTTATAAAGCCGTCCTCCGCGGCCGCCGCGTCGCTGTCAAGAAACCCTCAAAGGCTAATCAAGAAATTAGCCAGGAAGTTGATAACGAGATCGAGATCTTGTCCAAGATTCAGAGCCCCAGGTTGGTTAATCTTCTAGGCTTTACTGATAATTCCAAAGATCGTCTTTTGGTGGTTGAGTTTATGAGTAATGGAACTCTTTATGATGTTCTTCATTTGAATTCTGGTTCTAATTCTAGGCCTTTGAATTGGGGTAGACGAATTCGTTTAGCTCTGCAAGTTGCTAAGGCTGTAGAAATTTTGCATTCACAAAAACCACCCATCATACATAGAGATATAAAATCAGCAAATGTATTGATTGATAGAAATTTCAATGCAAGATTAGGAGATTTTGGGTTAGCTCTTAGGTGTGGAGTTGATGATTACAGACTTAGATCAACCCCACCTGCTGGAACCATGGGGTATCTTGATCCAAATTATGTTACCCCTGATAATTTGAGTACTAAAACAGATGTTTTCAGTTTTGGGATTTTGTTGTTAGAGATAATTAGTGGGAGAAAAGCCATTGATATTGTTTATTCCCCACCTTCTATTGTTGATTGGGCGATTCCTCTGGTGAAAAAAGGGAAGATTTTTAGCATTTATGATCCAAGAATTCCGCCTCTTAAAGACCCTGTTGTTAGGAAGCAATTGGCTGTAATTGCTACTAAATGTGTTAGGTCTTGTAGGGAGAGGAGACCTTCCATGAAAGAAGTAGTTGTTTGGTTAACCGGGTTGGCTAAATTGGTTCCTCTCCATTCATGGAATGGTTTTAACAATCCTTGTATGATGGTGGAGAACGTGGGTCGTCCTGTTGAATTTAGAAAATCAAAATCTCATGGGGGTGATGATTGCAGAGGAGAGGATGTGGATGGTAAGATCATCGGTAGTAGGCAAACAATAAAGGATTCACGAAGAGTGTATTCGGATTTGGGATTCAGAAGCAACTTGATGGAACTAATGTCTGGTACTGATGGGGAATCTGCATTTTGGGGAGAGGCTGGTGGGTTAGAACAGCCTGGTTCAAAGTCTAGAAATGAGGTATCGAGTTCTAGATTTGGAGTTAGAAATAAATTCCGTAGTCGGGGTAATGATAAAGAAGTCTTTCATACGAGGAGAAATCAATCAGCTGGTGAAATTTCAGAATTATATGCAGCAGGGGAAGATGACATATTTGCTCAAGGCTAGTTTCAAACTATATTAGGCTTCTGATGATATGTGTATATACACATATATCAAGGAGATGAATTCACAATGGAGCAAAAACTGAGACTTGTAATCTTCTCTTGGTTGCATGTCAATTATATTTAAAATTCTTTGGCGTGTAATTGCTTCGTGAATTTCAACCTATTAACCCTCTTACTTTTGTTTACATTGTGGACGCCTTGTTTTTTGTTCATTTTCCCTCAGTGAAATGTAGATAAGGACATTGCTGATGTCCATCTTACAGGTTTTTAATCCTTTTGTTTCTTTATCTGTCTTTCATCTGGACTGGTTAAAATTCTTGTTCATATATATATATATATATGTATATATATAGAGCAAGTTAAACTTTGGTATTGTGAATGTTCATCACAATAGTTCATTTCGTGTTATATGACTACTGAATAGTTGTACTTATAGATGGAAATGAAAGATCATCCTTGGTTCGAAATCAAAGGCAATCATTCGTATCGTACACAGTAAGGGGTTGCATTCACTCGATTCGATTTTTTAACTTAAGACTTTTTGGAAACCGATTAGGAACTAAAGCTATCGTGTGAACCGAAAATATAACATTAATGTACTAATTATGAACTTAATTAGAATTAGTTTAAACATAAAGCATATACTCAGGACAGATCAAGATTTTTTAAACATGGAATTAACATGAACAATTTATACATAATTTAATTAGAAAAATTATTGAAAATATGAAATTTACATGAATTTCAAAAAGAGAAGTCTTCTTTTCAAAGCTTCGAGGGAAGAAAATTTGTACTCCTTCACCATAAATCAAGGCTTTGACCAATTCCAAGTATTTGACACTTACCCAGATTATTTTTTTTTGTCTTTTGTTTTTTCTTAATTTGTTAAAAAATTAATTTGGGTTTTTATTCTTTTTGTAAATAGTACTTTAATTAAAAAATTTCAGTTACTATACATTTATTCGTAATAGCTCCAGAAATTAAAAAGAAATGTATACATTTATTCTAAGTGCGAAAGCGAAATAAAATAGATTATGATTAACATCCCTTAGACAATAATCAAAACGTATTAAAAATATGAAAGAATAAACTAATTGAAGGAAATACTATGAATGAATACTATAAGGAAAACTAATAAATATTTAGACTTCTATTCGCCGTCTTCATGCGGAACGGGTTCGGGAACCAATTCCTCATGATCTGAAATGGTTAAGTAAGGAATGAGCTACACTACCCCAGTAAAGATGTCATACTATCTCACTGTCACAGAAATAAATGTTGGTAGAAAACAAAAATGACAAATGGAGTATAATTTATAACAAATTCATTTATCAATAATAAAATCTTTTACTGTCCACTTATCTCGGTGAGATTCATGAAAATAACTTATGAAAATAATAATATTATAAACATCATAAGATCATGCACACTCTGTAACATAACACATATCATACTTTTGTATTTCAATCATCAGACAACAAATTTTCTCTTTTATCAGCCTACTAGTATCCATGGGAATCCATAGGGGTCCCCACTACTCGTAAACCATTTACCTTAATTCCAGGACAGTCCCCATACCCCGTCCGGTATGAGCGACAAAACCATAAACCTCAATACCCCATCCGGTATGAGAGTGAAGTGGGTCGTCCCCATACCCTGTCCGGTATGAGCGCCAGAATATTTAAAGTTTCCATGCCCTGTTCGATATGAGAGACCACGTTCCAGGTAGGGTTCCCTATGGACCGGTCCGTCCACCATCTCCCAGGATATCTAGTGAGACTGTCAACTTATCCATTTATAAATTCACATACCCTTTTTATTTTTCTTAGTCTCAATTACCCAATCAACATGAATACGTAAACTAGTAACGCACACCAAACAAGGCAACACAACATCGGGTTCACAATAATTCAAAACATAATAGATTAAACAGTGATTCATGCATATGAAATTACAGAATAAACAATCAAATACTATATTGTATTTAGATTGTAAAATACATCAAACAGGAACAAACCGAAAAATACATCAAGTTCGGGCCCCATTAGCAATCTTAATTAATTATACATATCTATTAATTCATAAAATACCGTTTTATCATTTATTAAGCTTTAATGCCGTGATAGAAAATAGGTTGAGGGATTCTTACTTGTTTTAGAGTCTGAAATCGAGTTCTCACTGCGCCTATGGGCAGTTCCTAGATTCCCTGAATTTTTTTCTAAAAACTGAAACACACTTCCGGTACCTGTACATGTCCCCAAAAATTCCAAATCAGACCTAGGGCATATTCGACCAATTTCAGAGTTCTGGTACGGCGGTTCTACCGTGCTTTAGCGACGACACTACCGCCCACGGCAGCGATCCACCTCAGGTTGGCCGTTTTTGACCGTTTTCGGTCGAATTCGGCCAAACTTGCATTGGTTCCTATGATAAAACACCCCTAGGGTCCTCGGTGGGCCAAAAAAATCCAAAAAATCGAGACTTACTGGCGGCGGAGCTCTCGGGTGCGGCGGTTTCTTCAGCGCGAGTCGCGGTTTGATGTTTTACGCCAATCAACCTGTAGAAGAAAGGACAGTGGTCACAGTAGTGTAAAAATTACATCGAATGGGAATCGGGAAGGGCATCATCGGAGGCAAAAATCGAAGAAACTCGCAGCGGCGCCGCTGGACTTTGGCAGTGTTTTTCGGCCAATTGGCCGGTGGTTTGGCTCCGATTTGGCCACAGGTGGGTTCAGCATCCAAAACTGAGCCAAGGGGAGAAACTTTAACTCGTTTGGCGGCCAAAAGGTGCTCTGATGCGGCGCCGGGTGGCGGCGGTCGGTTCCTTCCCGCATCAGCGTCTCTGCCACGCGGCGTGTCTTGGTTGGCCGGAGCTGCTGACCAGGCTGTTGACATGGCTGTTGACATGGTGTAATTTTTTTAAATTGCGTTTTGACCCCCGGTTTTCGATTTTCTTTTTAAAAATACCTCAATAATCTAAATTTTCACCAATTTTTTCCAAAGTCATTTTCAGTTAAATCCAAAAAATAATTTTACCCCTTTTTATCATCATTATTATTTTTATTTCTATTAAATTAAATTAAAACTATATAATTATTACCTAATAAATTAATTATTAAAATAAAATAAAATCAAAATTGTAACGGCCCCGGAAATTTAAAATGAAATATGTGTATTAAAAATGTCAAATGCGGAAGCGAAGTCAAAATTTCGATTAACATCCCTTACACTAAAACCAAAAACGTGCTCAAAATATAAAAGATCAAACTAAGTAAAAGAGAAACTCGAAAGTAAAAGCTATGAATATGACTATGAAGTCTTTAGGCGTCCCCTTCGTCGTCTTCCTGCGGAACAGGCTCGGGAACAATGTCTTCCTGATCTGAAATGATTAAATAAGGAATGAGCTACACTAGCCCAGTAAAGACATCACGATATCTCACCGTCACGGAGGTAAATGTGGGTAGAAAACACAAAAAGACCAATGGAGCATAATTTACAACAAATCCTTTTATCCATAATAAATCCTTTACCATCCACTTACCTCGGTGAAATTCATAAAACAATATACGAAAGCAATAACATTATCATCATCATGAAATCATATAAACTGTATAACATAATACTTATCACGCCTTTTGTAATTCAATCATTACACAACATAATTTTCCTCATTTACTAGCCTACTAATATCTATAAGGATCCATAGGGGTCCCGCTACCCGTTAACCCTTAACACTTGTAATCAGATTCCAGGGCCGTCCCCATACCTCGTCCGGTATGGGCGCCAAAACTATAAACCTCAATACCCCGTCCGGTATGGGCGCCAAAACACATAGGGTCTCCATACCCCGTCCGGTATGAGAGACCACAATCCCGGTAGGGTTCCCTACGGACCCGGTCCGTCCACCATCTCCTAGGATATCTAGTCAGGCTGACCACATTATACAATTATCAATCCACATAATCTTTCATTCTCCTTTTCCTCAGTCAGCATCATCAATTCACATACAAACAAGTAAAACAGTAATTTATGCCAAACAGACAACATACAGCATCGGTATCTCAGTCATTCAACCCATAATCAATAAAACAGTAAAATATGCACACGAAACTATAAAATGAAAACATCAAACCTCATAGTGCATTTAAAACTGTAAAATAGGCCAAATAACAGTTAACCGACAAACACACTAGACTCGGCTCCATTAGCGACCTTAAGCAATTTCACACATTCGTTGATTCAAGAAATACCGTTTTATCATTATTGAACTTTAATACCATGATAGGAAATAGGGTGAGGGGTCCTTACTCGTTTCGGGGTCCGAACACGGCTTCACAGTGCGCCTACAGGCTGTCCCTAATTTTCCCTGAATTTTTTTCAGGGAACTGAAACGCACTACTGGTACCTGCACGTGTTCCAAAAAATTCCAAATTAGGCCCAGGGCCCCTTTTTGGCCAATATCGCAATTCCGGCACGGCGGCTCCGCCGTGCTCCGGCGACGGCGGCTCCGCCGTGCTCCGGCGACGGCGATTCGCCTCGGGTTGGCCGTTTTCGACCGTTTCCGGCCGAATTCGGCCACACTTGCATCGGTCCTTGCGATAAAATAACCCTAGGGCCCTCGGGGGGCCAAACAATTACGAAAAACCGAAGCTTACCAGCTGCGGTGCTCTCGGGTGCGGCGGCTCTCTGGTGAGATTCGTGTTTTGGTGATTCGGCTCCGATCAACCTGTAGAGAAAAGAATGGTGATCACGGTGATATAAAAATTGCATCAAACGGAGGCCGGGAAGGGCCTCATCGGAGGCAAAAATCGAGGAGGGGCGCGGCAGCGCCGCTGGGTTTCGGCCATGTTTTCCGGTTGTTTGGCCGGGATTTTGGCTCTGATTTGGCCACAGAGGAAATCAGCGCGGAAAAACGAGTCGGGGGTATGAAATTTACCTCGATCGGCGGTCGGAAATCTCCCTGGTGCGGCGGCGGGTGGCGGCGGCCGGCTTCTCCGGCGTCTGGTTCGTCTTCTCCGGCGAGGGCAGGCGGCTAGGGTTTTTGTGGTCAGGTATGGGGGTTCTATTTATACCCTTTTGCCTTTTGATCTCAGCCGTCCATTTTGATTTAATCTGAGCCGTTCGTGCGCACGCTTGATCTGGGCCGTCCGATCGCGCGTACGCGGATCGCCAACGTGGCCCGTCCCCGGTCGACGTGGTCTTGCCACGTGGCAGGTCCTGGTTGGCCAGGACTGCTGATTGGGTCTGCTGACGTGGCTGCTGACGTTGCGCACTTTTTTTTTTTTAACTTAATAAAAAT